ATGTCGTTTTCATCAAGACCTTGTTTTTTAAGTAAAGGTTTTACAATGGCTTGTTTGAAAAGATCAGGTACGATTCCAGTGGTGAGTGACATATTATGGTAACAGTGCGCACTGTTTGGGAACGGAAGCCTCACTTGTTTACAATGGCATCTTGGAAGACGAAGTTTCCCATGATTAGATCTAAACGAAACTAATGAAAAGTGGAACATTAAACTACAGTTACTTCAGACTCCTTAATAATGTAACTGTACATCCTTTAAATGAATCTGAACCATCCATTTTTATTTTTCCAATTCGAAAATTAAGTGGTTCGGAAGTTTTAGATGACCAAAGTGGCGAACTTTCTCAATACATGTATGATATTACTAGCTGGCCCCCCTTTCGATGAAAGGAATGATGGGTGCATTAACATCAACTGAAAGTCAGTGGCCTATCTACATTTACACTCTACTGGAATGGAGCAATAAATCCTGAGAGAGGAAAATAAAAAGGAGGTTTAGATATAGATCAAGGAGATTAAAAGTAATGGAGGATGCTCTGTGGGCGGCACTGAACGCCTGATAGGAGCCCTCTCTCGCGGCGGAACTGTGGTCTACCTGCGCTGAGCGAATACCCGTCTTACACACTGAAATCTAGATAAGAAAGAAGTTTTTTTTCGAGGTCCTTGAGATTAGGCAAGTAAATTAGTAAAAATGCCTTGCATCTGTGTTGTATTTAAGTGTAAGAACCGATATGATGCTGCAGTGGACCGAAGTTTTCACAGTTAAGTTGTTTTCCTTTTTAAAAAATTGAATGAAAGTGTTTTTATGCCCCCAGCAACACAATTTAAATCATTAACATTCATAAGAGGCTGGCTCCGGCGCTACCTGCCAAGGCCAACACAGGCTGAAAGGGATACAACACCCCAGCAGAAAGACCGAAATACTCAATTTTTAAAAAAGTATATTTATTCTTTTATATATATATATATATATATATATATATATAGATATATATATAATTATTATGTGTATATATATAATTATTATGTGTGTATGTATATAGATCTACATATTATACATTTATATTGCTTTCCATTGTGTGTGCAAATTAGATGCTACTGTTGTCTAAATGTAGATATCTAGAGCCATTAGAATAGGAAATCAATACTCAACAACAATAATGATGAATATTTTCTATGTTAAAGAAACACCAAACCATATCAGATGAGGGGAGAGGGTAGGGTGGGGTGGATAAGAGTTTGAGTCTTGTTAGATAGAACTATACTCGGTTTAATTCTATTGTTGTAGTCTTCACCTAAGATCCCACAATCAATAATTCCGGTTCAGTTAAGAATCTGCTGTTAAAAAATAAACCAAACAAAGCAACAACAAATTTTACTACACAAGAGTCATCACTAAGATAAATTATCCCCCCCCCCCCCCCCCCCGGAGTGTAATAAGGGACTAAAAACGCTGCTCTCCATATCATACTTTACTGAACAAAAAAAACAACCTTCAAAGGTCATCCACGCTCATGCATGCGATCACACCTCCAAAGGTGCTGTTATCTCTTTTTTTAAATATTTGAAATCATTGTGCGCTCCACTTTGTGAAAACCCGGAAACAAAATTATCGTAATCAATAATATTATTTATAGACCAAGACATACTGTTAGCAAGCAGATAAAGCTGGCATCGACCCTCTGTTGTGTTCGCTATTCCTTACACATAAAGTTAGCTATGGCACACGCCTAGAATCATGCAATCATAATATCTTAAATTCAGTTTTAAAGTATATTTTTATCCATTTCTAATACTTAAATATTTTAGCATCTTGAGGGATTATCTTTATAATTTGGTATGTTTGATAATTTTATGTTAGTTGGACAAGTTTACTTCTTATATTACACATTTTTTTTTTTTAAACTAGATTATAACATAAAACTCTGAAAGAATTGAACAGTCCGTATCACACACAGAATTTTTTTTTTCTCCCTTTCATCATCCGTCAGCCTGTCAGTTGATCACAATCTCTCTCTCTCTCTCTCTCTCTCTCTCTCTCTCTCTCTCTCTCTCTCTCTCTCTCTCTCTCTCTCTCTCTCTCTCTCTCTCTCTCTCTTTTCTCTTCTGTCTGTCTGTCTGTCTGTCTGTCTGTCTGTCTGTCTGTCTGTCTGTCTGTCTGTCTGTCTGTCTGTCTCTCTCTCACTCTCTCTTTTTCTTTCTCTCTCTCTTTCTCTCTCTCTCTCTTTTATTTAATTTCCCCCATTCTCCTTCGTCCCTTCCCAAGGCCCGCCCCTCCTCTTTCATCCCTGCCCCATCCCCTCTTCCTTGCGTGCATTCCCCCACCCCGCCCACCCCCACAACGTGGCCCAGCCCGATAAGATTCTCTAAAAAGAAACTCCACAGTTCCAAATTTAGCCCACACTCGGCGGCCATATTTGATCCCCATCGCGGCGTACTGCTCGTGACGCCGCGAAGAGAGAGGGGAGGCTCCATTAGTTCTAAACTCCTTGATATAGATATAGATCTAGTGATGTATAGATTGATTCTCTATTCCGCTTTCGTGGTTGTACACTCCAGAATTTCAAAGGTGTGGAAACAGTGCGCACGGCCATTAAACGGAAACTTCACTTGTTTACAATGATGTCTTAGAAGACGGACTTTACTAATGAAAAACTGAAAATTAAAGTACAGTGACTTCAGGCTCCTCAATAGATCTGTGCTCCCTTTAAATGATTCTGAACAACCATTAATTTTGTCCAATTGGAAAGTTAAGTGGTTCCGAGGTTTAAGGCGGCGAAAGTGACGGACTTTCACAAATATAATATTTATAGATATAGAAAATATATAGATGAATCGGCTGCCCAAAAAATCTCATCCTAATGATTAATTTCGCGGAAAAAGGGGGGGGGGGGGGTACCAGTGTTTGATGTGTACCTGTTAGGGTGCAACAATGTTGAAAAGGTCAGGTTGTTTTTTAACAGACTCTGTAGGTTTTTGGCAGGTGCTCTAGTATGGTCTGCCCATTCTTTCCTATCAAACATAATATGTTATCCTTATCTCTCCTCCTTCTTTTTTGTGTTTGTTACTATCTTGTAACATCTCTAAACTTCGGCACTTATGTGACCGTATTGTGTTGCAAGAGTTGCAAAAGCTTATTAAAGCAAATAACACACCAGCTGTCAGCAAATGCTTACAATGTGACCCAGACGGTGCATGAAGCTATTTTGACTCAAGTCAGCCAAACCTCTCAGATTCTACAACAGCCTACATGACTTTGTGGAGCTTATATAAATACCACACGGAGAAAGCACACTGCGAGGAGGATTGGCAATAGGTATAGAGGTATGATCACCCGGACGCCATAATCTATGCTTAAATTTGAACAGGTTGGATCAGCACCTATGCATTTGCTGTGTCCCGGAGTAACACAGAAAGCACGCTGGATTAAAGTCCACAAAGAAACTTCAAGCCTGTTATTGCAGGGAGTAGAAGTTGATTCCAAATCTAGATCTATTGTACCTTCTGAAAGAACAATTTGGGAGTGGTACGAACAGGTTAAGGTGAGAGGGTGTCTGTCAGAAGGCCATTAAAGGAGGATGTAAGCATTAACAAAACAGTGGGAAAGTGGAATCTGTTCGCGCGTTGGTCGCAACAACACCAAAGACGTCTGTTCGAGGATGTAGCGGGGAAATTGGCCGGCCAAGTCCCCAACTTACAGAATCTGGAAAAAGCATAATTTGAAAAACGAAGCTATATCACATTTTTGTTCATCAAGAGTTAACCCCAAACGATGATGCTTTGGAGAGAAATGCAATGAGTGCGTGACACAGAATTTTCAACACTTTGTTCTTTTAGTGGAGAGGCTCAATTCTACGTGACAAGAAAAGTTAAATCTGGGAATTGTGTGCGCTGGGAAACAAAAAGCACTGGTTTCTTCAAAGTTTTGGGCTTAGTACACCTGAACAGCTGGCGGACGACATGCTTTCTATTCGGAATAAGAAAGTTCACTATCTAAAAGTAAAATGAAGATTTAATCAACTCTTTTTTCCTTTCAGCAGCAAGAGGAACGTAGCTGAGCTTAAATCCCAAATACCTCACAGACAATGGTTCTGTGCACGGGGCAGATTCTCACCCTCAACATGTCGACTTCTGTGTTTGACAGCTTGGAGATGACGCCAGTTCTGCTGGTCTCAGCTCTCGCTCTTGTGGCAGGCTTGGTCTACAGGTGAGAAGTTTTGGTTTCCCAATGAGTACTACCGACGTCGGTGGTGTATCAGTTAACGCAGAAGACCTGGGTTCGATTCCAGGATGTGGAAAATCTGATAAAATTTTAATATCTCGGTCTTTCTAACCGGACGCATATTCATTTATTTCAATGAGATAAAAACCACATTAATTTTGTTCCTCATTTAGAGAAATAACATTTGTGTAAATCCTTGGGCTCAAATTCTCAACTGTGGGTGTAATCGAGATAGAAGCTTTTTATTCTGGGGTCACAAAAGTGTCAAACCTAGAACCTGTTGCTTTCTCTTACCAGATACTTAACGACCTACCCAGCCAATCTACCACCAGGCCCGCGGGGTTGGGACTGCTTCAAACAACTAATGGAAGCGTACAGTACAAGCAAACTGAAAGAGAAGTTGTGGAGCTGGGCAGAGCAGTATGGCGACCTCGTCTTCTATTACTCATTGGGTGCCCCCTTTTGTGTCCTCAACTCGGCGAAGGTGACACGGTTACTTTTGACTGACGATAAGTACAAGTTGTTGACCGCTGACAGGGAACCAAACTTCTTTGCCAAAAACTTCTGGTACAACGGCAAAGATATGTTCTTCACAAAGTACGACGCTATCACCAAGAGAAAGAGGAGAATTTTCCATAAGGTAAACTTTTTGAGACACCTAAAGAGGCATAAAGACCTTGAACATCTAGATCTAGTTCTCATTTGCAAAAGTGAAGGCACACAAGGCAGAAGTTGGCCCAGAGCGACATACTTGGAGAATCGAAACCGATGGGTGACAGGGAAGGATCAGGGTGATGTAGCTTTTTGAGAGCATGCGAACTAAGGAATGAATAGAGAACCAAGATCACCGATGTCTGTCGCAGATCTGGCATTTAATGATAATGAGGATTATACGTAGTGCACACTGCCAATCAGAGTCATTGGGGCGTGCAGGGTGTAGCCAGATTTTAGTTCACAATCTCCTACTTTTGAAGTGGACCCGAGCAGAAGAGGGGAGCAGCTATGTACATGCACCATCTGCGGAAGTCCAATCCTTGTAGACAAAGATAAATAGATAAAAACAGACAAATTCAAACATACAAACTTTCCGAATTCTGATATACCTGCCTGAACTGTGATTCGAACTCAAAACAGTTTTGCTCAGTCTAACGCAAGGGCTCTCGTGGTCTAGAAGTTGCGGTGTTCGCCTCTCATTCAATAAGTATCTGGTTCGAAACCTGACAGTGACAAAAATGTTCTCTCTAAAATTGTCTCCTTTTACCCCCTTTCCTGTTCTGTTGTCTGATTTCGTCTCCACTTTCTGTCCCCACTCCTTCGTCCCCTTTACCCCTCCTCTGGGCTCCCGACGCTTTCGGCAGCCTTTCTACTGCTACTCTTTGCCACCTTGTTGCTGTCTTTCGGGTAAGATCTAACACCTTGCCTACTTTGACAAGGGCTCGAAATCTTGGATCCTGTGTGCAAGTTGCGCACGTTAAAGATCCCTTGGTGGTCCAGAATCGATTAGAGTAGGCTTCAGCCGCCACCTGGGCAAAATTCGAACGCCTTAAAACACTTACCTAACCAAAGAAACAAAACGAGTCCAACGCCTTACCACTCAACTTGGACTCCTTAGTTCATATTTCTTATGGTTGTTTCCCTCTTAGTATGGTAATTATGAATTAGATCTCACGCAAGACGAATTTTTTAAAACCAAAGACGTTTTACTGTAAGAAGCAGATTTGCTTGATGTATTTGAATAAATAAGCCAATACAGTGTATCAGATTCCTGGTAAGTATGATTTTTCCTTCGTCAAAATTTAATTGCTGCAGGTGACCTCTTGAAACTTGTAAAATAGATTGTTATTTTTTTTTCAAACACGCTAATTGTTTGTTTACTTGTTTATTTATTTGTTTGTTTGTTTTTGTCTGTTTGTTCGTTTTGCTTGTTTGTTTGCTGTTGTGTTTTTCGTTTCTTTTGGGTTGTAAAAATATCTTTTTTGTTGATTTGTTTTGCTTTTTGTTTGTTTTGTTTGTTTTGTTTGTTTTGTTTTCTTACAGCTTTCGTTTCACACGTAACATTTTTGTACCCTTTGAAATATCTGAAGGCTCTGGGCATGTTCGGTGATGGAGTGCACCGGTTTGAGAACGTTGTGGGAGAGGAGTTGAACAAGTTCATGGCTGGCCTGGGGCAGAAGGAGAACGTGGACATCCAGATAGACCGAGACCTGGCTCGATCTTTGAAAAAGATTATTTATATACTGGTAGGTATGGTTGTTGTTGTTGTTGCCGCTGCTGCTGCTGTTGCTGCTGCTGTTGTTGTTGTTGTTGGTGGTGGTGGTGGGGGTGGTAGGGGTGGTGGTGGTGGTGGT